AATGAATTTGCAAGAAATGTAAGATGTTTATTTTATTGGTTATATATAACCAATAAAAGTTTAATAAGTACCTACCTATTTGCAAAATAAAGTTTAATTCTTTAGATAAAATAAAACGTTTTATTTCATCTGAAATGAGTGCATTCCACGAAGTAAGGGTTTCAACAATCAAACATTTAATTCTTTAATTCCAGGAATCTACGACAGTAATTGACTAGATAATTACCTTCTAAACTTATTCCACAGAAAATGTGATAGTGGGTTTTTTCCATTTTGTAGGAAGGTCCAAGTGGCGTATTCAAAATTCTTAACAGTTCACTAAAATTAGGTACTTCAGTTGCAAGGTGCAGTTTATTGTGTATACTAGTGTTATGGAAAATTTGGAAGTGCCGTGTAAACGCCGAAAAATTGGTCCTTTAACAGTTAATGAAAAAACATTAATATTTAATATTATAAACGTTTATGTGAAAGTGTTGATGAGACCGTTGAGTTAGTTAGCAGTACACTTGGTGTTGGAAAATCTACGATTTACAGAGTTATTAAAGAAGAGAAATGTGGTAGTTTTCAAATGCCACGTAATGCTCCAGGGAAACCGAAATTTCAAATAAAATATCATTTTAAAGAAGGACTTCGACGGGAAGTGCATGAATTTTTCTTTAGACAAGAATTTCCAACATTGGATAAAGTTCTTGTCTCAGTTCGAGATGATAACGATTACCCAGAAATGAGTCGAAGTACGTTATGGAAACTTTTAAAAGAAATAAGCTTTCGCTGGAAAAAGAATCCCAGAAAGTCTATCTTATTAGAAAGAAGCGATATTGTCATATGGAGAAGACATTTTCTAAGAACCATAAAGGAAATAAGAAACCAAAAGAGAAAAATATTTTATCTTGATGAAACATGGATCAACGAGGGTCATACACCAAATAAATTTTGGCAGGATGAAACTGTTACAAGTCAAAGGCACGCTTTTGTAAATATCTGGTTTAAACCCACCATCAGGAAAGGACGCAGGCTGATAATAGTACACATTGGCAGTTCAGACGGTTTTGTTGAAGGTGGTTTATTAACTTTTGAATCAACTTGTACCGGTGACTACCATGAAGACATGAATGGTGATGTCTTTCAAGAATGGTTCGAACAAATGATAGATCTTCTTCCTAAGAACTGTGTAATAGTAATGGATAATGCAAGTTATCACGCCAGACTTATAGAAGGACTGCCCACAACCAAGTGGTTAAAAAAAGACTTGCAGAATTGGCTGAGTTCAAAAAATATTACGTACCATCCCGGATCTATAAGACAGGAACTTTATTCGTTGTGTGACCTTCATAAAGAAAAATTTAAAAAATACGAAATTGATGAAATTGCCCAAAATCGTGGAATGACAGTACTTAGATCCCCACCATATCATTGTGAATTAAACCCGATTGAACTGGTATAGGCACAGATAAAGAGTGAAGTTTCAAGAAAAAATACCACTTTTAAAATTAATGATGTTAAACAGTTGTTTTTGGAGGCCGTAAATAATGTAAAACCTGAAAACTGGGAAAAGCAGTAAATCACACTATTAAAGAAGAGGAAAAAATGTGGAAGCTGGACAATATTACTATTAAAATGATTGAGCCAGTTATTATAAATCTTGGTTCTGAAAGTTCATCTTCTAAATCTGATTTGGATTTGTAACAAGTAGGTGTAAGTTTTATATTAATATTTTTATTCATCTATTTAATATACCTTAGACGGTTTTAAAAACTCTTTTTCTCTTTTGTAATTTTTAAAAATTAAAAAAAATGTGAATTTTTTAAAACCCTTTTTAATGTAGGCCAGTCAGTTCTAATATAGTGTGTGATAAAAGAGGTCACTTTTGTTTACATACACATAACACTTTATAACACTGAAATAATTCATTTATTTTTTACAATTATTCAAAGTAATTTTTCAATTAATCTTGAGCACGCCCATGGAGTGGTCGGATGTACCAGTTAAAATTATGCTAATTACTCTCTCGTTCATAAAAATAAACTATAACAACCATTCAAATTTCGTCATTTTGTGTCATGTGGAACAATTTCACCCAATCATGTCAACATTAGACTGATAATTGCATTCAGTGCAATTTTCAATCCTATGACCACACGATCGAGTTTGACAACTTCATCCAAATAAATTTCAAAATGTCACGTTTCGGCAATGAGAATGTTCAAAGTATAAATGCGCTAATCAAAGAACACCACAACAAGATTATAAATATTACGCGTGGTAATAGATCTTCTATAGTAGAGAACAGCAACGAATCTAATGTTAACTTAAATTTTAATAATTGTACTTTCACTAACTGTACTTTTAATAAATAAATGTTTCGTTATGTTGAGTTATGATTTTTTTTTTCGAAAAATTATCCGCCGAATATCCCTCGGACATTGATGAATGCCTCACAATTTCATGACAAATTTCTCAAGCTCGTTGCTTGGTAACAGCACTCAGCCTCCGGCTTCGTGCTACCAAGGAACGAGCGTTCGATTGTCATGAAATTATCTCGTCTGTTATCAATGTCCTATGGATATTACTACTGAAAATAAACATTCAATTGCACAAAAATTACCCCTATTAAAATATACGATTCTTCATCATCATCTACTTTTTGTTAGGGAAATCATTTTCCTTTCTGTAGATCTATTTCGGACACTCCCACACTTGTACAATTTCCAATACTCCGGATTGGCTACAGAAGAATTATCAACAAAGAACGAAAATCAAATCATAGTTGTACTGAAATTAGAAGTAACTGTTTCTTTATATTGTTCTGAAGTTATTTTCTTGTAGCATCTTATGTGAATCTACTATTTTAATTGGAAATAAGCCTAAATATTAGTAGGAAATTAAATGTATTTGACGCTTCGACTTCAACTTCTAAATATTTTATTAAAGAGGCTCAGGCCTAAACAAGGTTAAAACTCGTGTGTCATGTGGCATGATAACGATTTCCGAAGTGGAAGTCCAAACCTCAAATACATTTAATTTCTAACTCATATTGTGCCTTATTCCCAATTAAAATGGTAAATTTACTACAAGATCACTTTGTAACTGATATTTCCACCCTGTATAAAATTTGCTTACAACGTCAGCTCCAAACAAAATCTCAATTGGTGCTGTCTGTCCGACAACGCTGAACAAAGATCTCTAGTTCGCAAATAAATAATAGAACTTTCAATTGCACGAAAAATGATTATAGCTCTGCAAGTTTTTGGTATCACCTTTCCCATTAGTTGTGAAAATATTTTACAGCTAAACTTCAGATCCTCAAATGACCTTCCAGTGGCCAGAAAGCGTAAAATTGCTACAAGGCGTTGTTCAGTACTAACAGATTTACGCATGACGGTATCTTTTTTGGAACTGAGTAGACGAACTTTTTCTAGCAACAGCAAATAAGTTGAGTTGTCCATTCTGAGGTAGTTTTTGTAATCATCCTAATTAATGACATTGAACAATTTTGTGTCACAATAGTTCACACGATCAACAAATAATTTCTTCATCAAACATTTTTTTCCCTTTTTTAAATAATAGGGATAACAAGCACATTTTCCTTCTCCTAATTATGCGTAGTCTTTATTTGATACATTTTTTGGTTAAGCGATGTACACCGTCGTGAAAACGAACTAGAACTGAAATTGGACCGGTAGTTGGATAGCAAGTCGGAGCGTGAGTGGAGACGAATATCCTACAAGTAGTCCTACTAAGTGGGACCGCAAGTCCGAACGTGAATCCCCAACTTTAGATCTGAAATCGGATTATGACTGAGTTGGTTGGATTAGTTGGAAAACTAGTGTTACGATTCGGAACATCTAGAGGGACGACTTGAAGGTCCGACTTCCGACTGACAACGAAGTGGGAGCTTGAATGGTGAAATTGGAAGTCAGATCACAGGTCGGATCGAAAATTGGCTCAGTCAGTTCATCTTCGGCACCTGTTACGTATGAGATTTCTATGAATTACTTTACGCAAAGATCCCTAGCTCTAATCAAGTTCCTAGTATTACCTATCCCAATAGTTGTAGAGATATTTTACAACTGAACTTCAGATTCTCAAATGACCTTCCAGTGGCCAGAAAACGTAAAGTTGCTACAAGGAGTTGTTTAATACTACCATTGTTGTTTGGAAATGAGTAAAACAACTTTTTTTAGCAACAGCGAAATAGTGAAGTTGTCCATTCCGAGGTAGTTTTTGTAATCATCTTCATCAATGACATTGAGTAATTTCGTGTCACAATAGTTCACACGATAAAAAAATAAAGGATAACAAGGACAATGCTGTCATTTTCCTCCTCTTAATTATATTTTGCGTAGTGTTTAGTTGATACATTTTTTAGTTAAGCGATGTACACCATCGTGAAAACAAACTAGAACTGAAATTGGATCGCTAGTTGGATAGCAAGTCCGAGCGTGAGTGGAGACGCATATCCAACTAGTAGTCCTACTAAGTGGGACCGCAAGTCGGAACGTGAATGCCCAGCTTTAAACAAATTTACTTTATGGCAATGCAAGACTCACAGGGGCTGCCAACCCCAGAGAAGGTGTCTCTATGAGTCCTGGATAGCACTTAATTAAAATGAGATTTTTAGGAATGATGCATAAACAAAGCAGTCAATGTACCTTGAAGTGTGTGTCTTAATGTGATACTACTAATAATGTGTTAAACGAATATGATAAAGTATGTTTCTATACGTTACAAATCGACACACGAAACATTCATAGTAAAGTAACAAAACAATTAACTTTGTTTCATTAAAAAATTCGAAAAACTTTGTTTCGTCAAAACAAAGTAATTCATCATCATACAAATATTGATCTAAAATAAATATGGCCTTCTTTCCATTTTAGCCTATCCTAGCTTCATCAGATATGTGTATTGATGATTGTCTACTTTTAAATCAAGTATATTACACCTTAACCCCAACATATTGCTTTTTTTCTATTGCTACAAATTATATACGTACTTACCTCTCCCATTTGATAATTTGTAAGAAACATATTATTGACATTATCAGTACATATTGGCTGAACCACTGGGTCTAGTTTAAACAATTCTTGGGTAATTAGTAAGGCTAAATCAGCAATATATCTCTGACTGACTCCTCTGTATCCTTTATGAACAATTACCTGTGATATCTGAAATGAATAAAGGTAGTAAAAAATAAAAACGATATAATAGACAGGAGTAAAAGGAGGCAAATCATATGGGCAGAAAATACGAAAGTTTGTGAAGCTACAGATACTTAATAAAATATACACTAGAAATAAACAGAAATAATAATCTTCTACTATTTAACTGGGAATAAGCCACAATAAAAGTTAAAATACGTTTATTGACGTTTCAATTTCCACTTCGGAAATCGTTCCCAAAAAATTGAGACTTCTTCCAGTTCTATTTTGACTTCTGGTGTTACTCTCTACTCTATTATTTTAGTATACATTTTTTAAAGCATACCGATGACAGACATATTGGTCTTTAGTTGTCGCAGTTTACACGTTCTCCTTTTTTGTATATTTCACGATAATGTTGTTCTGTCAGTCTTTAGGGATTGGTTCAATTTCATCATCTCCACCTGCTTTGCCTATTTTTATGTTTGAAAATACTTCTACTTCTCTACGTATGTGCTCTAGATCTATGTTTCCTTGGCCTAAATTATCTTTCTTTATTACTTCGGTATCTTATTTTTTTTCATAATATTTTATCCAAACCATAGCTATTTGTTCGGGGTTTATTTGGATTTGCTTTGATGTATCTCTTACTGCGTTTATTTTCTTCATTTTTTTCTCTTTATAAATCGTTTTGTCGTTTAAAAGTTTCTATTATTTGTTACCCTTGTAGTTCTCCTAATTTTTTCCATGATTTTTCTATTGCTTGTCTGACAGCAAAATTTGATACCACACATTTCAGTTACTGTTTTCTTTAACAATTCCCAGTAAGTATTTCATTTTTCTTTCATTGTCCACATTTCTTTTTGGCCCTCTATTTGTCTCAATTTTTTGTTAATTTTCTTCTTGTAAAGTTCTAGCACGCTTTCTTTTATGAGTTTGTTTACTTCTTCTGTCTTGTACTCTTTTCTTTTCACCTCCTTCATTTTTTATCCTCAAGTTTTGCAGTGACCATGGTGTGTTTTATAGACGGTTTTAGCTCCTTTTCCGTTTCGATCTTTGTATGTTTTGTTTTAGGTTTCTCGTATAATAGACTATAATATAGTCGACTAAGCTTTTCGCATTTCTTCCTTCAGCCACAAATGTATATTTCGCACAAAGTGCAAGACTGCAGTAAGTCAGAATAAGTAAGTTCCGAAAGTTTTCGAGTCAGATTCTGTCTCCGGCTTCTATATAAAATGTAGCTTCTCCATTTCTTAAATTTTAAAGTATTTGTTTGTCTTTGTTTAGTGTATTTGTTATGTCCCAATTTACATTTATAACATTCTATTACTGCTGAATAGGCCACAACTGACGAAATGCCCCTGAGGATGATCTTGTGATCGAAAGTACTTGGGCAAGATTTGATTAACTACTGTGTTCGATATTTGCCTTGTGTACTATCAAAGTTTATTTATTCGAACATTCAACCTTATATTGATTTAATAAAAATATACAAATCAGGCTACCTTGAGTACAGTGATTAACAAAACGATAGAAATTTACTAAACTCGGTTTCATCGTTCTTGGCGTGTGCCTGAAATAAGCTACTACGTAATTTTAATATTCGTCTCTTTCTGATACACAGATGCGTAATTCACTTGTGCGAGTCACGTTCGTCATGGTAAAGTGCGATGAGAAGGGAATGAAGAGACCACTCACGTCTCCCAGTATTGTAGCAGTAACACCGATGCGTTTGGCCGATACGGTGTCGGTGATAAGTTCGGCCTCTTTACGAATACAGCTAGCTGCCAGTGGCGTGTTTTTTTAAACTTGTTACCCTGATCTGTGCAAGTTTGAAGTAGCTGATAAAATAGTTTTTATAAGTAAACAGTTTTTAATTAATTAATAGTTTGAGCTCTTACTGTGTGGAATTCCATTACATAAAATAATCCTCTCGACACCTTAAAAATTCCAGTTTATTATAAATTAACTCTCTCTCTTCGATACCCATTGCAATAATGACTTGTAGTTGACTAGCAATTACCATTGATATTTTATGTTGTTTTAGTCGATTTTAGTCAGTCATTGTTGGAATTTGTTCCTAACAGTTTTACTTATTATTTTTTGTTGTGAATAGCTAATTGTTCTATTTAATAAAAAAAATGCCGAGAAAACGATAACAGGAGAAATGCGACAATGTGTAGTTTATTTATTGGAGTATTTTAAAAAAGAAAAAAAAACAACGGACCTTTGCTTTCGTTATCATCGGTACATGAACGAGTAGCGGACGCTTTGAAAATCAGTCTTCGCACAGTGACAAGAATTAATAGTGAACACAAGACAGGGGCAGCTCTCACTACACCAGGAGAGTCACGTAATGTACAAAAAAAAAGACTAATGATGTCAGCTATACTATAAAAGGAGAGATTAGAAATGTACTGTATGGCATGAAAGCAAAAGAAGAGCACGTTACAATTTAAGTTCTAAATACACAATTAAGAAAAAAACCGTCATAGAGATGCTTGCATCTCTATGACGGTTCTGATACAAGTTTGTGGCGTCTTATGAAAAATTGTGGGTTTTCATACAAACTAGAAAATAGTAGACGAGTGCTATGTGAGAAACCATGTATTGTCTCCAAACGACTGTCTTTTTTGAGGCATTATATGAGAAATTTTTTCGAGCCCACTTCAGTTCGTTTTTTTAGATGAAACATGGATATTCCTAAAAGGGGCATATAAACGTACTTAGCAAGATGACTGTGTAAAATGCATCAGAAAAGGACACGAAAATACAGGTAAACGCTTTGTTGTTTTAAATGCCGGAAGTAGGCAAGGATTTGTTAAAGTTGCTGGATTACTGTTTTCTACGAAATCGAAAAGTGCAGACTATTATGATTTTATGGATAAAAAGTCTTTTAAAAAGTGGGTCTCCGAAAAGCTGATACCAATGTTGGAGGAACCATCTCTAATTATTATGGATAATGCCTCATACCATAGCTCTTTAATACAAAAGTTACCGAATGCCAGTTGGAAAAAATCGGACTTACAAGAATGGTTACGAGCGAAAAAATTAGTAGGATTTAGTAGGATTATCATCGATTTGGCGGAAGATTCCATTGATGAAGACAGTTCCAGTGAAGACGCTGACTGATTAGCTAAATAATCAAGGTCAGTACGTTGTAACAGTTCAGAATTCGCTATAGTGCTTGAAACTTAAAAAATCTGTATCATTTTTTAATTAAAGTGGGTTAAATAATTAACACTTTTTTGGGTATATTTCAAAATCCTTTTAAAATATACTTTTCGTTATATCCTGTTCTATTGTACTGCAAGCTAGAAAAATACTTTTTCGCAATGTATACGTATATTCCGTTATTAGAAATTTAATGAAAAATAATTTATAATTTTCTTTTATAACTATTATTTCGTTTAACATGCTACATTTTTCTCCGCCACTGGAGGAGGTAAACGAATCCAGCTTACACAAAGAAAGACAGATGAAACAACTTATTGCAAGTGTTCTTACACGCACACGCCAAGAACGATGAAAACGGCTATACCTTAGTAAAAGTTACGGGGGGCAATATGATAAGACAATCGCCACGGAAGGTTACATTTGGAATTTAGTTTTTATAAAACAAGTTTTCTGAGAATAGATGTTTTTGCCCTGTCAGTATTATTAAATACACAAGTTAACCCCCTCTGTGGCTCAGTGGTAAGAGCGCCTACCTTTGAACCTAAAGGTCGTGAGTTCGAATCTCACCTGGGTGCAAATTTTCGTTTATTAAAAATTAATGAATGAAAAGAATTTCTATCCTTGTGCGATCGGTACTCACCGGAGGGACCGCTGACGTTCGGATACAATTAGCGTCTCTTAGCAAAGACAATGACGTCGACTTTTCTAAGTATCAAGACATTTGCTCTTCACACACACACACTACACACCTGACTGTAAAAATTCACTGTACCATGCCAATGACCATTAGTTGTCGATGCATCAAACTCAATAAAAAAAAAATACACAAGTTTTAAGATAACTGTTTTTCCTTTCATAAGAAAAAATACTTTTTAGCTGTAAATAATTAGTCTTAATTTATGTGTTTTTAATTAAATCTAATAAATAAATGTTCAAATGACACCGCACACATTTTATGGAAAATATATTGTCACACAAAGGATATAAAACTTACATGAATAAATTGGTAAATCGTAAATATTTGTTTATTGTCTCGGTTGTTAATGGATTACGTAGACACGCTGTATATTAAAATTAAACACCACAAATATAGATATTAAAATAACAAATATCTTACTTTTTTCATGGCTTTTGTTGCTTGTTATCGAATCCATTGCAATGTTTCGTGCAAAACTGTTGTAACTCTGTTACACTAGAGTTACAACAGTTTTGCACGGAACTTATGTACAACAACGTAAAATAGTTAAACTGTTGTTGTTGTAATATTTAGCCGGTTAAGCATTTGAAAGTTACTAAAGTTTTACAGGGGAGAGATATGCATGTTTACAATAGAATTCCATGATTTCTTTATTTTCATAAAATTTTGAGTTACTGCAGTCTTGCACTGAGGGTGCGATTTGTCTTCAATGGTTTGTTCACTGAATGTACTTTCTATTATTAGATCATTCGTTTGGCAGAATTCTAGTACTTAAATTCCATTTCTATTCAGCAGCGGCTCGTGGCCTAAAAAAGTGCCAAAAGGAGTTTTGGTACCTACGTGGTGCCCAAATCTCATTAAAAATTCATTAAAAAAATGTATAGTTATGTAAAAACTAAACTAATAAATAATATACTATACACTATATTATATAAAAAATGTCTATATAATAGACGACTAAATTTCAAAATATTGTCGCTGCGAATACTAAATAGGTATCCATGCAACTAGTGGCCAGTGGGCGAAGACGGATAATATATTTTTCAACGGAACTGCACTAAGCTATTTTTCTCAACTATAACTCGCGACAGGCTGACGTCACGTTGCCATGGCAATCGTGAACGCTTATGCAGATAGATTTCGCATTTCAAAAATTTTATTCACCTATTTCTGAATCATACATGGCAAGTGACACAGGTCAGGACTTGACCGTCAAGTACCCACCGCACCGCTAATAAAGCTAGCTGTCTTTTTTAATTTTTAGATGAATTAAAAGCGAATAAATAATTAATTTCAGAATTTAGATATAACAATGTGGCTTTTATTTTTTATTTGTTTGTCTCAATTTAATTATATTTTTTTGGTGAACCTCACCTTCACCTACTTCACCTGGCCAGCCGCCGATGCTTCTATTTAATGTTTCTTCCCGGTAAAGTCCAATACATCCTAATCCCCTATTAACGTCCTTACCTACTCTTAAAATTCAATCTCCTTGGATTATTATTTTTTCTCTTGTCTCTGTTTCTCTTATTCCCATTATTTGTATATCCATTTTTTATTTCTTCTATACATTCTATTTCCTTGTCAGTCAGACATGTCAGCCATTACTAGAGTCATCGTTGATTTTATGCTTACTGGTTTTTGTAGTATTATTATTTGTTTTATTACTGTGATTATTCTTAATACTTAAATCAAATTTTAAAAAAGTATTATTCAATTCACTACAAAACTATGAAGACATAGATAATCTATTTATGAATAGGAGTAGTAAATAGTTGTCACTTTTCTCCTCAATTCAACGCTTGTTTCAATGCCACCTAAATCCTTTGACCACAGTTCACTTTTTGCTAGGTCGCTCTTTTCGTTTCATCGTCGAGCAGGATTTCGACAATACTAGTATGACTTCTCTGATCGATTATCAGACACTGCAGACTTTTAAATAGCACTGCTGGAAATGCTGGTTCCTTAAGTATGTTTCTAAATTGCAACAGCGCCATAAAGGAAGACGCATTGTTTTAATATTAGCTAAAGATATTTGTGGTAGAAAATTATAAGAAAATTTCCCCAAGAAATAATTGGCTTGTTGATCGTTTTACACATTTACATCCTGGAAAGTGTCCACCTCACTATTTTTTAACAATGAAATAAGTATTTAAATCATAAAGTTTTAATCATTACCTTTCTATATTGAGCTTTCGTATCTCTTTGATCATCAAAGGCATTGTAATATTTACCAGCAGCAACCTGAAAGTTTTCTCTGCCAAGAGCGTTACCATAGTTATCAGTGACACAATGAGCAGCTAAAAATATAAAAAGGAAATAAATACCGATACATAAATATTCTAATATCTAACAAACTAAGTTCTGTGGTTAATGAACATTAGTCAGAACGAAACTATGACAATATTGAAATAATTCGTTAATATAGTGAAAAAAATATAATATTAAAATCTTTTATTTAAAAAATCCTCTAAAAAGGTCTATACAGGGTGGTTCTTAAATAATTGCTTAAAAATTATTTAGTAAAACCTACACTTTATAATATCGCGATTTCAGCCAACTTGATTTAATAAAATGTTGATATTAAGAGAGATACAGGGTGATAAAATTAAAATTTAAAATTTTATTTTTCTCTATAACTTTGATATTTTTGAACATATATTTGTAAAATTTTACAACTGAGGACTTTTGAATATGAGAAATTATAATTGGATACAAAAAAAGATATATTTGTAAACAACTTCAAAACTTAACAGTTTTCGAGATAATTGCATTTTAGAAAACGCCTGCATAACTCTGAACGCAATTATTCCAGAAAACAAAGAAAAAATAGACAAAATATCAATACAATTTGATGTAAAATGCATTTGCAACTAAAGTTGCATGCAACTAAAGTTAATAGATTCTGATATATAAAAGGAAAAGTAATATACGCTGATATTCTTTTACATAATATATTGGCAGGATAATTAATAGAGTGTTATAGAATTTGATATCAATCAATTTTCACTATACATTAAATTAAAGTCAAAATAAAATTTTATTTACAAACAGAAATAATAAATAGTTTGAATAAACTAATTTACATTTAAACTTTTTTCAAACTAATAATGTTCCTTTATCTTCACCATTGCCTTAAATTCCCATAAAACATCGTCTCATATTAAATAGCATCAGTGGTTCAAAAGAAACTGCTGCAGTATTAATTTCTTTTTAAAGTTGGTTGACATAGTTTATATACTATATTTAGTATATATACTAAAATCTAGAGGATTCAACTTTGGGCTGCAGGGTGTCCAAGGAAAATGTCTACCACAACCAATCCAGCGTGGGGAGGGGGAACGAAAAACGTCGATTTACCAAGAATCTGTGCGCTGTAGAAAAAATATTTCAAACAAGAAATATGGCTGATTTATTTTTGAACAAAACTGTTTATTAGCACTTTTTTGGTTAGAATAAAGCGTTCTCTCGGAAACTACGCTTGAAACGGCGGCGATATTGAATGTCAGTTTAACGAGAGAAAATACATATTTTTTTAAACAAAAATTTGTATTTACTTGACGGTAAAAATTCGATATCTTTTGATCAGAGCGGTGTATCGACAAAAATTAAAATGGTTTTTAAAGGTAAATAGTGCATTTTTTCGTAATAAATTTTTTTTTTTGCCGCAAATATAGTTTCTGTAAAGCTGTTTAATAAAGAAACGTTTGCAATTTTTTATGGTTCTCATGAGATGAATAAAATGTATCACTTCCATTCATTGGTCGCTATGGAATTTTCATTATTAAAGTCCAATTTTCTAAAAGGTTGTTACGAAATCTGCAGTCTTCATGTTTAAATGGCATTTTGATTTTTGTCTATAGGGCACTGTGATTTAAAGATATCGAATTTTTACCGTCAAGGTGATACAAATTTTATTTAAAAAAGTTTCACATGCTTAACTGTCATTCAAAAAATTGTCGGTTGCTTCAAGTGTTATTTCTGAGAGAACGATTAACTCTACAAAAAAAGTGCTAATTAACATTTTTGTTTAAAATTAACTCAACTACATTTTTTATTTAGTAGTAATTAAATGTTTTTCGTCCCCTCCCCCCTTCGAGAGGGGATTTATGAGGAAGTCCGAGATAGGAGTAATAAAATTGAGTTTATACTGACTAATAAAGTTAAATTTTCTGCCTCAAAATTAACCTTTTTGGAAAAATTCAGTTTGTTCGTAGGCTGATGACTGGAGTAGTTGCCCACTTTAATTCAAATATCCCTTAAATTTATTGCATTTATACACTTGTTTTACAATCTTTGACTTAATCTTTCAGAGTATATTACACCTTAACACCAACATATTATTCTTTCTGTTGTTACAAGCAATTGATAATAAAATAATTTTATCATATTCATTTAACACATTGTTGGCTAGTGTATATTTAGACATTGCTAAACATGCTATTTTAATCAGTAGAACCCACATTTTTCCCAAAGGGTTTTTCTTTTTAGTGACTTCAGTCATGTTTACTTGGTAAGTGTTCAAGTACATGTTCTTTAAGCGTGGTCAAAAATATAGATGAAATCAATTTACTAAAAACAGATAGAAAAGATTTAATAAAACTGACCCCTAAGCAGAACAAAGAATCCCAATGTCTAAAATGGATAAACATTTAAGCAGAAGATATCCACCGTAAATATATGAGATCTGTACTAGACTATCTTAATTGATTAAGTAATTAAGTTAATTAAAGATATACCTACCAGTTACAACAACTCTTCGGCTGATTAACGTACCCCACATATATTTCGGTACCGTCCTCCTTCGTTCTTATACAAAGCTATAACCCACGGATACTCAAAATCCTTAACATCATTTCCACCCCAAGTAAGTGCTATTGTTTCCTTACTAAACTTTTTTCCACACTCTGTTAAAAATAATAAAATAAATTAGAAAATTAACATATTAAAACACCAAAAAATATTTTTAATCTTTTTGGGTCTTCGAGATTGGTAATATAAACATTTTTAGTCTGTTTATAATAATTTTAATTGCTATTCTGTTTATTCTTGATTCCACCTATTAGTTATTTTCGCGGAAATAAACAGGAATCTTTCCGCTAATGCGGGCAAGAAACCCATTTTGGGATAATGACATCACTTTTCGATGAACGGCGATAGCAGTCGGTTTTATTGTTGTAGTCGTAAACAATTTTGTAACATTGGGAATTCGTAAAGTGTAGTATTCAAAAGAATGGAAAAGCAGATGCTGTTCTAAACGGTAGAGTTGGTTCTCGACAGATAGTATCTCGGCAGATAGAAAAACCCGCAAAATTTTTGTTTAATCTTATGAGTTAGAAAGAGGTACATTTAATCTCAAAATGCTATTTGCAGTCTTTGTTTAGTGAGTTAGTTAATTACAGTTTTGTTGGATGCTGTAGTCCATGCGAAGGGATTTAAAAAACAGCGTTTCCACGGTTTTAAGTCAAAATTAAGTAGCCGAGTTTTGAAAAATATTTAGGATAACCTGAAGCCCAATTCGGTGTTTGACCTCCAAAAGATTTGGCCATTTTGTGTCTCCATGGGTCAATCTAGATCATTTAAAGTTTGTGTGAGACAGTGTGTTTGTGTTGTAACCAATTCCAAGGTAATCATCATCATCATCATCATTATCATCATCATCATATCATCATCATCATCATCATCATCATCATCATTCATCATCATCATCATCATCATCATCATCATCATCATCATCATCATCATCATCATCCAGCTTCATTTATCATGTCCACTGCGATTTTGTACTCTTTTTTGCCAATGTTTTGTGATACGTCTGATGTCGTCAGCCCAACTTCTAATCTTCCTCTACTACGTTGGTCTGTTCTTGGTCTTCAATGTGTGATTTTACTCGTGCATCGTGAGTTATGCATTCTCGTTACATGGCCTGCTCAACTCCATTTAAGTTCCGCTATGCGTTTCACAACATTAGCAATACTCGTCCTTCTTCGTAGATCTTCGTTTCTTATTCGGTCCCGCAACGTCACTCCCAGCATAGATAGTTCCATTCGTCTTTGTGCCAGTCTCAATTTCGAAGCCTTAGTCTTAGTTTAGAGTCATATTTTCCGCCCCATAGATCATGACTGGTAATACGCATTGGTCAAATTACTTTATTTTTGAGGCTAATTGGTATGTTGACCCTAAGTATATCTCGTAGTTTTCCAAAGGCTGCTCACACTAAAGTAATTCGTCTTTGAATTTCGCATGTTTGGTGATCCCTGTTGATTCTTATTTTATGACACAAATACGTATATTTCTGCACCAGTTCTACCACATTGTTTTGAATAGTGAAATAGTTATTGGGGACCATATTTGTCATAAACTAGTTTTGGACAAGTTCATTCTGAGGCCCACCTTCGAACATGCAAAGTCAATTCATTTTAACATATCTGTGGCTTCTCCTAAATTATCTGTGATAAGGACAATGTCATCTGCGAAACGGAGATGTTAAGTTTTTTGCCGTCTATTGTTCCTCCTTTGTGGTCCCAAATAATGCCGTTATGAATAATTTCGGCGACAATGTACCTCCTTGCCTTATCCCACGTTTTATTTTTATTGATCGGGTTTTATCGTGTAACTTAACAATCATAGCGGCATTTTTGTGAATATTGTAAATAAGTTCACTATACCTATGGTCAATCCTTGTGTCTTTCATTGCTTCTATAAGGCTGTCTATTTCGATCGTATCGAACGCTTTTTGAAAATCTATGAAAGTGAGGAACAGAGATTTGTTGTGTTCTATAGATTTTTTATTATATAGCGTGTCCTTACTGTATGGAGGTGATCATTGGTACCATAATTTTGATCGAAATCCTGCCTACTCTCTCGGTTTGTAGAAATCTAATTTTCTCTCCAATCTTGATCCTTACCAAACTAGTGAAGAGTTGTATATGTGGTTCAACAGGCTATAGTTTATTTTTATGAACGAGAGAGTAATTAGCATAATTTTAACTGTTATCTCCGACCACTCCATGGGCGTGCTCAAGATTAATTGAAAAATTACTTTGAATAATTGTAAAAAATAAATGAATTATTTCAGTGTTATAAAGTGTTATGTGTATGTAAACAAAAGTGACCTCTTTTATCACACACTATATTAGAACTGACTGGCCTACATTAAAAAGGGTTTTAAAAAATTCACATTTTTTTTAATTTTTAAAAATTACAAAAGAGAAAAAGAGTTTTTAAAACCGTCTAAGGTATGTTAAATAGATGAATAAAAATATTAATATAAAACTTACAGCTACTTGTTACAAATCCAAATCAGATTCAGAAGATGAACTTTCAGAACCAAGATTTATAATAACTGGCTCGATCATTTTATCAGTAATATTGTCCAGCTTCCACATTTTTTCCTCTTCTTTAATAGTGTGATTTACTGCCTTTTCCCAGTTTTCAGGTTTTACATTATTTACGGCCTCCAAAAACAACTGTTTTAACATCATGAATTTTAAAGTGGTATTTTTTCTTGAAACTTCACTCTTTATCTGTGCCCATACCAGTTCAATCGGGTTTAATTCACAATGATATGGTGGGGATCTAAGTACTGTCATTCCACGATTTTTGGCAATTTCATCAATTTCGTATTTTTTAAATTTTTCTTTATGAAGGGCACACAACGAATAAAGTTCCTTTCTTATAGATCCGGGATGGTACGTAATATTTTTTGAACTCAGCCAATTCTGCAAGTCTTTTTTTAACCACTTGGTTGTGGGCAGTCCTTCTATAAGTCTGGAGTGATAACTTGCATTATCCATTACTATTACACAGTTCTTAGGAAGAAGATCTATCATTTGTTCGAACCATTCTTGAAAGACATCAGCGTTCATGTCTTCATGGTAGTCACCGGTACGAGTTGATTCAAAAGTTAATAAACCACCTTCAACAAAACCGTCTGAACTGCCAATGTGTACTACTATTATCAGCCTGCGTCCCTTTCCTGATGGTGGGTTTAAACCAGTAGATAAGTTATTTACAAAAGCGTGCCTTTGACTTGTAACAGTTTCATCCTGCCAAAATTTATTTGGTGTATGACCCTCGTTGATCCATGTTTCATCAAGATAAAATATTTTTCTTTTTTGGTTTCTCATTTCCTTTATGGTTTTTAGAAAATGTCTTCTCCATATGACAATATCGCTTCTTTCTAATAAAATAGACTTTCTGGGATTCTTTTTCCAGCGGAAGCCTATTTCTTTTAAAAGTTTCCATAACGTACTTCGACTCATTTCTGGGTAATCCTTATCATCTCGAACTGAGACAAGAACTTTATCCAATGTTGGAAATTCTTGTCTAAAGAAGAATTCATGCACTTTCCGTCGAAGTCCTTCTTTAAAATGATATTCTATTTGAAATTTTGGTTTCCCTGGAGCATTACGTGGCATTTGAAAACTACCACATTTCTCTTTTTAATAACTCTGTAAATCGTAGATTTCCCAACACCAAGTGTACTGCTAACTAACTCAACGGTCTCATCAACACTTTCACATAAACGTTTGTCTGTAAATGATTTAAAACAATTAAATATTAATGTTTTTTCATTAACTGTTAAAGGACCAATTTTTCGGCGTTTACACGGCACTTCCAAATTTTCCATAACACTAGTATACACAATAAACTGCACCTTGCAACTGAAGTACCTACTTTTAGTGAACTGTTAAGAATTTTGAATACGCCACTTGGACCTTCCTACAAAATGGAAAAACCACTATCACATTTTCTGTGGAATAAGTTTAGAAGGTAATTATCTAGTCAATTACTGTCGTAGATTCCTGGAATTAAAGAATTAAATGTTTGATTGTTGAAACCCTTACTTCGTGGAATGCACTCATTTCAGATAAAATAAAACGTTTTATTTTATCTAAAGAATTAAACTTTATTTTGCAAATAGGTAGGTACTTATTAAACTTTTATTGGTTATATATAACCAATAAAATAAACATCTTACATTTCTTGAAAATTCATTAGTACCTGTTAACCTCCATCACTCCGACACTGGCAACCTTATTTAGGGATTAGTAACCCTCACAACTATTGTATTCTATTCTGCTCCAACCTTTATACCTGGTGGTCATACTCAATTTAAAATTGTTTTCCTATATACTTCTGTAAACTTGTTGACAAATATCTGTTTTTCATTGAGTCACCCGTATCAACAGTTTAGGGATTTGCATACATAATTTATTGTTTTATTACTCTCTCATACATAAAAATACACTATAATAGGTCTATAATTCTCTAGGTTTTCTAGGTTCTAGGTTTTCTCTAGTTTTTTTAAAAGAAAATCCAAGGTAATACAATTTCTTAATAATTTAAAAGGAAATACACAGCTTGGAAAACAAAGTAGTTGAAGCCAAGTGTTAAATTTTTTTTAGTAAAATAACCATTCTTGTTATATACGAAGATTTGCTTTCATGGCAATTAAAAAAAATATATAATTGTCATCTTTTAGTTTTCTTTTAAATAAAATATGTAATGTTTCTCTTTAAACCAGGAGTTTAAAAATATTTCTTTTAAAAAGATTTTTACCTTTAAAATTTTTTAGAAAAGAAAAATCTTACTTTCTAACCAGCAAGAAGATTTTTTTAAACGGCGCGGCGTTCATTTTATATAGTTTAGGATCTTTCTTATGTATTCTTTTTTGTAGTTAGTTTCTCAGTTTCCCAATGAAGAAACCTTATCCCTAGCTCTTTAACCAAAACAACCAAAAACGAATAGCCGTTCGCAAACGTTTCAATTTATTTACTTTCCCTATCTTCAGCTCAATAAATCGTTTAGTTTCTTCTTTCAACCCACTATAAGCAATTATATATTGTTACAAGTGACTCCCAACGTGGTATGCAAATAAAAATTACTACAAGCCAATGTAAATTCGTAACAAAAAGTATAAAAAAACCTTGATTATTTTTCCCCACGTGGTGGATGGTAAAAAAGGAAAGCCCATCGCTAACGAAAGTACGACTGGTTTCTCCGGCAGTAGAAAGAAGTTGAGGGAGATAAACGGGTAGTCTCTTTTCCAAATCGGCTGCATCTCGAATATATAGATGGGGACGACTACTAGCGCCACTGATGCTTAATTATTTAGCAAATGCTGATATTTTCTAATCCAATATTTTGTAATATAAGCAACCAGTAGACGCTAGATGCGGTGGCTTAATAAGAACTAGAAATATTTCCCATTTTTAATATTTAATAGTTGCAAAACTGAAACACTTTTCAAACTATGCCCGTCTCCCAATTATTCGGTCCTTTTAATTATTTGTTGACCAAAATGAGAAGGATACTAGTTCTTGTATTATTACATCATGTTTCTCTTGTTTCTTTGTCTTTCCCTTTTTTCTTGCATATCTTCTAAATATTTTTGATTTTCTTGGCTTATTTATTTCCTCTTGTAATTTTGTGTTATTTATTGATGCTGTCAAAGTTTCCGCTGTTTTTTTTACATATTTGTAGTCACTAAGGATAATAAAAATTGTATGTCTACTTACTTGGTTGACATATAGGTTTTGGAAAGTCCCAGACACCATTATTACAATAAAGAACATTTCGACCCCCCGGTGGAATTTCATAATAAGCAGCACACTCGTAAGTTAAGTATGTACCATCAATAGCTTTATCACAAGCGACCGTATTCTCATCTTTATCTTTGCACACTAAGTGTGTAGTTATTGTTGTATAAAACGGAGGACATTTTTCTAAAATAATAAAAATATGTTTAAATATTTTTCCAAAGAAAAACTAAAAATATATCTCAAAAGCTAAATAAAACATAATGAGGTGGTGTAAACTTAAATTTCTTGTCAAGATATAATTTGAAACAATTAGGCCATTAATTTTATTTTTAATTTTTTGATGGCGCTCTATATACTCACTTTTACAAGTTGGAATATCTATCTCTTCCCAGTTCGTATCACATACAATAAACGGAGTATTGGGGTATAACTGGTAACCTTCGTGGCAGTCTAATCTTAAAACCGAATTCACCATTACCTGGTCACCTGGTTTAACGTCTGCTTCAGCTATTAACCATCTTCCATTGTGTAATTGTGGGGGAAGCGTACATTTAAAACTAAAAAAGAACACCAAACTGTTGTCAAAATTGCGAATAATGTAAACTTGTGTTACATCCTTTGTATCAAGTATTTAGCTTAAATATAAACATAAATATAAAATTGGAAAAACAAGTGATTTTTTAGAAAAAAAGGAGAAAAAACAACAAATAACATTTCCGTAACCGTTGAGGAAATAAACGATAAGATCCTGATTTTATATTTATAGACTACAGTGCTTTTAATAAGATGAAAGCAATATTATACAATGGAAAAGTCAACATTGAA